AGGACGAGGGGTAATGGTTTTAAACTAAAACAGGGTAGGTTTAGGCTGGATATAAGGAAGAAATTCTTTACAATGAGGGTTGTGAAACACTGGAACGGGTTGCCCAGAGAGGTAGTGGAGGCCCCATCCCTGGAAACATTCAAGACCAGGCTGGACAGGGCTCCGAGCAACCTGATCTAGTTAGCGGTGTCCCTGCTCGCTGCGGGGGGGTTGGACTAGATGACATCTAGGGGTCCCTTCCAACCCAAAACTTTCTATGATTCTATGATTCTATTTCAAAACTCTCATCTGACCAGTGAAATGAGCAACCAAACACGTGCATGTCAACTGCCATATGATGGAAAGCAAAACTTGTTATATAATAAACCAATTTGCATTTGGAAGCTGAACTGCTCATATGACAAACTGACTGATGTTATTGTAATTCAGATCTGTTTGCATTAATGGCAGTAACACAATAATCTATATTAATAGCAATCACTGTTCATGCAGTAAGATATACCTGTCCAGATGCTGTGAACCACAAATTCCAATGTTATATTGCTCCTCCAGTTTCTTTTTAAATAAGTTGTAGTGTGCAGCTGCCAGATAGATATTCATCTGAGACCTCCAAGGCATCTCTTCAAGACACATTTGATGAAACTTCTTTCTGTTTAAGTAATTACTCACAATTGGTTTCAGCAGTACCACTAAGGCGTCACGAGCTACTTTTTGCAACTCATCCTTGCATTTCCTAAAGCAAAATATATGAAGTAGCAAAAAATGAAACTGTGTTTTCTGGAAGCTCTCGAAAAGAAAATAATGGTAAAGAAACACGGAAGCATCCCATTGCATATCCACAGAATTATATTAACTCAGAAACATATGACATATTTCTAGCAAAAGGATTTTTGCTGCAGTCAAGAAAAGCAATTGAGCCTTCCCTCTTTAAGTGCACTTAACACGCACTAAATCCTATCTTATATTTTACCAACTTCCATAAGATATTTGTCTTAGTACTTACAAAATGTTTAGCTCTGTGTTTGAAGTTATTTGTACCAAAATCATCCGAACAGATTATTACAGCAAATACAACATGTTTCTCACAGTCTGTTCAGGAGATGGAGGGTCTACTATTATACTGTAAATTTGGATCATTGTTTTTCTTGTTGTGTTTTGATAGCTAATCATCCTCAGTGTGAAGAAAACATTTTATTCCAGATTTGGATGTTTGGCTTTAATTTCCAGTCATAGATTTTCTTTATGTTTCTCTGCCAGATCAAAAAATTCTGTATTATCTGGCACACATACAATGCTCTAGTCAAATTAAATCTAATTTTTTGTTTTTTTTATAAACTGTAAACAGATTCGTTTAGTAATCTAAATTATTTTTCTGCCTGTTTTCCACCTCTAAAATGTGGGCGGAACAGTATACCATATGGAATGTTGATTATATTAACACAGCAATATTATTAAGGAAGATATGAAAGAGCAGCTGAAAAAGCAAAAATCTCAGGATAAGTTAAACATCCCCTCTTCCACTGAAAGCCATGAAAATCATGTGAAGTAAGGTAGGTTTGTTCTGTCGAGGAAGAAAAATGGACGGTTTATGTAAATATTTAGAAGATAGTGTATGGAAGACTTTTTTGAGGTTCTTTATTTAAAACACTTCCAGAATCAGTTACATGATTGCTTATACCCAGATATTTCTAGTTTTCTACTTGCTAACTGCTGAAAGCATAAGTGATGAAAGCACCAGGTAGTGAATACTACAAATTCTTTTAGGTCAGAAGGTACCATTAGCGAGTTAACCAAATATATACAATTATCTGCCAAAAGAAGAGGTGAATGAATTTTCATTTGTTTCTACCAAGAAACAGTTTTCTGAAAGCTTCAGAACTGACAGCCCAAAAAGACTAGCAACAGGATGACAAATATCACCGTGAAACTACCTGAACATCAGGAACAAATGAACAGTCTTTATTAGATTTCTAACAGGTAAGCTCCCCAAATCAGTTTGAAATGTATTATAGTATGCAGATTAACATAGCTTTTCCACCATAATGAATCGACATGCTCAAGCTAACGAAACTGAAATACAGTCTTCAATTATTAATACAAAGACTTCCAAATCTTCAACAGTTATTCTCTGAAACAGAAATCAGATAAATTCTGTTCTCTTGAGTGTAAGCCAATTTTATAGCAAACTAAAACAGAAAAGTAAGTGGACTGTGAATAAATTCATCCCTTTAATAGAAAAAAGTTTTAAAATACACACTTACATGTAAACTAAATTTCATTCAAAATATTTCGGTTCTGTATATGAACCTGGCAACTCACATTCATTTACCTTTGTGCTTCTGGAGTTTTCATTATGTTTGGATGTTTCATGAAATACTGTCTGAGAGTGTGTCTTTTTTGAATGGGACTCAAGGCTGCTTTTCTTGGTTTCTTCAAAGTTGATACCTCTGGTTTCTTTAAAGGTGAGGTCTCCATACTCTATAAAAAAATCTTCCATGAACATCTTAAATATACTTCAAATACTTGTTTATGCCTACGTTATCAATTACTTGAGATATACATGAGTTTGGCTTGTGTAGGAACAGAACAGAGCAGAAAATAATTTCTGGAACTGTTTGTCAAAATAAGACAGCAAAAGAAATATTTAATATTCCAGAAAGTTTTACTATTTTTCCAGAAGGTATATGTCAAATGCCTGACACTAAGAAGCCAGCCAGGTCCCAAAATATTTTATTTCATATACCAGTGTTTTTAATCTCAAAAATTAAAATAGTTCTTTTCCTTTTATTAC